TAGCTTTTTCAGCTGTGTGGACACCCTTAGGAAGTGCACCTAGGGGACCCCTGGAGGGGGGCGGTGGGGGCAGGGAGTTGCGGTCAGCAACATGGGAACAGCCGCGGGTCCAGCCGGACCGCGGCGTCCAGGGCCCCCGGGAAGGTGCTGCTGACGTCTACGGCGCTGACTGGGGGCTGGGGGCTGTGCCGCGCTCACGGGTTTGTTTCTGGGGTTGGCGCCCCGTGTCACCCCAACTTCGTAAATGACTCCGAGGCTCGGGGAACACCGTAGTGGGCCCGAAGTCCCAGGCAGCGGACAAGGCCGGTCTGGCAGTGGGACAGGGGCAAGGGGGGGGGCCCCACCCGGAGAAGGGCGGAGTGGGGGTGCGGGTGGCCAGTCGCTCGCTCTCAGTCCTATTTGAAATTTTTCATACGAAAATGTAAGGAGCCAGGGGACAACCACGTCTAAACCAGGCCCAAGGCTCTGAAAACACTACGATGTCTTACATTTGAAAGTGTTTTCGTCTGTGCGCCCCTGCTTGAGACCTCCAGCGGAAGGGGGCGGCAGGGAGTGTCCGCGGGGAGGGCGCGGTCAGCCGGGCCCCCTTCCTGGCTCTCCTCGCCCCGCCCCTCCAGGGCGCCCACCCCGCGCACCCCTGTGCCGCTGGAACTTCCCCGCCGGCACCCAAGGCTGCCACGGACCCAGTCGCGCCCCCTGAAAAGCCACGTCGGGGTCCCGACCCCCACAGCGGGACGGGGTTTATCTGAAGAGGGGGGGCTGCAGCTCAAGGGAGGGGCCACGGGCCAGGTCCTGGGTCCCCACAGCAGAGGACACCGCCCAGGGCACGCCCGGGGGGGCGGTGGCCGCAGAGGCAGGGCGGGGCCTGGCCGCGGCCCGAGGCAAGGGCGGAAGCCGGGAGCTAGGAGAGGCCAGAAGGCCGCCGCCCCGCGGGCAGGGAGCCGCCCGCACTCGGACCTTGTGCTTCCAGCCCGCGATGCGGGGTGCGCACGGGTCACCCAGTGCGCGGCGCTTTGTGACAGCGGCGGAGGAAACAGCAACAGAGCCCTTGGTGACCCCGGGACCGCTGGCCCCCCAGCGCCACCTCTGCCCCTCCCCCCACCAGTCCCCCAAGCTGGGCCTCGCGAGCGCCTCTCCTGGCCACTGCACCCCTCAGCGCCCTCCTGCTGCTTCCCCCACCAGAGGCGGGAGTCCAGGCTGGCCTCTGTGGTCAGTGCACCGCACCAAAGCCCTCTGCCTGCTGCAGACATCTGGTCACAAAAGCGTCGCCGAATTTCTTAACTAAGACCCCAAACACTTGTTATATGCAATAATCACCCTATTATTCCAGTCACAGCGGGGTGTGTGCGGTGCCCCTGGGCCGCTCAGGGTCAAGGTGGCCCCGGCCTGGACAGCACCCCCCGCCCCTGCACTCACTCCGACGGGGGCAGTGGGCGACAGGCCATCAACACCACGAGCACATGGCTGGGTCGTGGGGACCACGCAGGGCCACCAACAGGGGCGCGCCCCCCCAGAACCACTTGTTTTCTCACTGTTGCACACGACACCCCGTGGCCTGAGGGTCCCGTGCGCCTGAGCCCCCTGCAGTGAGGCCGACCAGCGGCTGGCCTGAGGGGCCGCGTGGCCGCCCCCACAGCTCTCTGGGGTGACGGGGTTCACAGGAAGGAGGCGGCAGGGCAGACCGGCCCCAGCGCCCCTGGGCAGCCGCCTCTCGCGCTGTCAGGTGCCGGGGGCTCCCCCGGGCCCCCCCCCATCGCTGTGGCTTCCTTCTCTGAGGCGCCATCCCTGACTGGCCGCCTACTCCCGAGGTCCCGCAGCGCTGCGGGCCAGCCATGGCGCCAGCAGAGCGCCCGCCTCTGCGGGTGCCCGGGGAGCAGGAGAGCCGGGAGCCAAACTTGCCGGACTTCTGGACCGGCCCGAACACAGGGGTGCGGCCGCCCGGCGGCGCCCACCGCCTTCCCGGGAGCTGCGGGTGTGCCTAGGAACGTCATTCTGGAGAAAGAGCCCGCGGCTGCATCTTTGAGAAACAGCATCATCACAACTCATCTGGGGCGGATGTCGGGATCGAGGAGTGGGAGAAACAGGAGATGGTTCAGGGTACAAACTTCTAGTCCTGAGACGAGTAAGTCTGGGGTCTAAAGTATCGCGCCAAGGTGACGTAGGTAGGCGTAGACTGTGACAGGAGAGCACCAGCGTTGTCACCGTAACGACAAAGTGGTAGCTGTACGAGCAAAGCGCGTCCTGTGACAGACT